TTTCAGCAAGCAGGGTTGTGTCATCTGCATAATGCAGATTGTTGATAGATCTTCCACCAATCCTGATGCCACACTTCTCCTCATAGAGCATAGTATTGGAAAAAGACTGTTAAGACCCTAGGAATGTTTTCTTAATTTATCATTCAAAATGAAATTGAAATAGCATAGAACAATTTAAAATGTTTGCCAACCAATTTATACATCTGGTAAATTGTCAGTTTGATAACCCGGGGAAATTTGCCTATTAAATAGGATTAATGACTATTTTAGGGTGACAGCCATATTGGTGTAAAAATGGGGGAGGGGAAATGACTGCAGGTATAATCAAAAGAAATAAAGGGTCATATTTCTTACAATGATACACTAGAGCAAAGTTACATGTGATTAATATCAGTCTGAATCAATGGCTTCACTAAGGTTGATGTAGTCCAGTGCAGGAACTCCTGGTGTCAGGATCCTGCTCCTCCCATGAACCTCTTGCTACTCCCATGGGCCTTATTATCAATTTGAATCATACAGAAGTATAATTTTAAAATGCTTAAATTATTTTTAGGTTATATGAACACTTAACTGTGTAAATGCAAAACCTAGACCAAGGGAGGTGTTCAAACACAGCAAGGAAACAGTGTGTGGTTTAAAATCAAGAAAGATGTGCATTAGATCTTTATCCTTTTTACATACCTCTTCAATTTCTATGCTGAGCAGGTAATTTGAGAGGCTGTACTTGCTGAAGAACAATGTGACATCAGGATCAGAGGAAGACTCATCAACAACCCATATTGTGCAGACGACACAGTTTGCTGAAAGTGAAGAGGACTTGAAATACTTGCTGCAGAAGATCAAAGACTACAACCTTCAATACAGATTACATCTCAACATCAAGAAAACAAAAATAGTCACCACTGGATTGGGAACATCACAGATTGAGGTTACCAATAATTTCATCTTACTTGGACCCCAAAACACCACACTTGGTACCAGCAGTCAAGAAGTCAAAAGACATGTTGCATTGAGAAATCTGAAGTGAGAGACCTCTCTGCAGTGTTAAGCACCAATGATAAGATTTTAAAGACAGAGGTGCTTCTGATCCAAGCTATGGATGGTCTTTTAGATTACTTGCTATGTAAGTTGATAGTGACTAAGGATGACAGCAGAAGAATCAATGAGAGTTGTGGTGTTGGAGAAGAATACTCAATGTATTATGGCCTACCAAAAAAGCAAGCAAATATGCATTGGAGAAAGTGCAGCCAAGATGATCCTTGGAGGCAAGGATAGTAAAGCTTTGCCTCACATACTTTGAGCATGTTGTTAGGAAGACAAAGTGTTACCAGTCTTTGTAAAAGGACATTATGCTGGGAAAGATGGAGGGTCAGTGAAAGGGAAGAACACCCTCAATAGGATGGATTGACACAGTGACTGTATCAGGGAGCTCAGGCATATCTGCTCAGGATAGAGCAGGTTTCAGATCTATTGTTCATAAAGTCATAAGGCACATAACAACAGCAACCATTGAGTTGCAAAATAATTTAGCTACAAAGTTATTATTGTTACTCCCTGTCCTAACCCAGTGTTCACTAATTCTGATGCACCAACCCCCATTGCCACAGTGTGTCTTCCCATCTCATCTGGTGTCTTCCTTTCCTGTGCTGTCCCTCCACCCTTCTGAGCATGATGTCCTTCTCAAAAGAGTAGTCTTTCCTGGCCACATGCCCTAAGTAGGTGAGACAGAGCTTCAAAATTCTAGCCTCCAAGGAGAAACTTGGTTTCACCCTATCCAAGACAGACCGACTTGTTTTCTTGGCAGTCCGTGATATGTTAAAGACTCTTCTCCAGCACCACAATTGAAGGCATGAATTCTTTTGTCATCCTTAGTCCATTTTCAGCTCTCTGA